GAGGAGTTGATTAAGACAGTGACACTTCAAAAGATGGAGACTTGGAGCAAAGTGTTTCTCACCCTCAGCCTAGTGAGGGGCCTGAACATGGGAATGAGCAGAGCCAAGAAAGTTGAGGTTCAAATCACAGATCCATCATCTCCAGAGCTGCCACACACAGGGGCCCAGAGAGGGATTCACAGAGGAGCTTAGACCAGCTGCTTCAATTCATGACTTGCCTTTGGGGCTAATAAGTGAGCTGGGAAGAGAACTGACATTAAAACCCTCTTTCTTCAAGCCCGGGTTGGACAGCCTGTGGCCCCAGATATGGGGGAGGGACCCATGAATCAGCTGGAGGAATGGCCGGACCAGTGGGCCCCACACCTGGCTGTGTCCCAGCATTCCTGGACATTCTAAAGCCCCACCTCCTGAGCAGAATCTCTACAGATGGTGCCTGTGAATCTGTGTGTGTGAAGAGCTGCTAGCTGCTCCTCAGACCAATGCTTGGTTAACGACAAGCTGAGAAGACCTCTCTGGGTCCTTCCAACCTATGACTGTGAAATGGTGGGTCTCCAGAGGGGTGGGGCCTGCCCTTGGGGAGTTTTAAATATAGGTGGAAGTACTTTGGGTTGTCTGTTTGGGAGGGTGCTTTATTTCTAGAGAGAAACTGCGATTCTAGAGGGATTGTAACAACCAGCACAGAGCTGCACAACAGAATCCCCCCCATCCTACAAAACTTCTAAGTCAGCCCAGGCCAGAATGTAGATAAAATGTGAGCCTAGAGCCTAGCTCTGTATTTCACAGAAACAAAGTATTTTTTGGTACAGTTTTAATATGTATTGATTTTTCCAGAAATGGAGCTCCCATGAAAATTGACGGGAAGTAGAACTTTTTTTTTCCTGGAACCGTAAAAAATATTTTCATAGGAGAAAATCACATCATCAAAGGCAACACCACTCATGATATTTGACTCTCCAGTGAGACACAGACAGCTTCCATCTGCATTTGCAGCTGCCACATCTGTGCGCAGCTGCAGGCTCTTGATGGTCGCTGTGTCTTCCAGCTCACTCATGCCCATGAGTGTACATATTGGACTGAATATAGAATGACTTTGATTTGTCCTTTACATTACGGTTAGGACAACATAGTTACACTTTGAATATCATGTGTTGGTAGGTTATCAATGGAGGGCTGTGTTATATGTTCTGGTTGCTAAATATGACTTAATTCTGAACTCACCTTTGTGACTGCCTTCCACCCCTGGCAGAATTGCTTCCCTTCACTTCCTGGGGAAGCCCTCGGTCCAAGAAACAATAATAAGGTTACTGGGAGTTTTGGCCAAAGGGAAAAGGAGACCTTCTTTGTGCCAGACTGAATTCCAACTCAGAATTATTCTTCACGCAGAGATGATAAAGGAAATTGCAAGAGTAAATCCTCTGCTGTGGTTTTCCTCCCAGCTTCTTTGCAGGGAGAAGATGCTAAATGACCAATGGGTGCTTGATAGTTGCAGAGTAGCTAAGGAAGAGCCTCCAAGAGTTCCTCCCACCAGTCAGCCTTGGGAGCTAGAAGCTGGCCACTCTGCCATCTCACACACAGTCACGGTCTAGCCTTTCCTAGCTCACTAGTGGGGGCAGCATCCGAGAGCTCTGCTTAGACGATCTCACCCAACAGCCCCACTGTCCTCTCCTTCTTTCCTTTTCCCTCCCTTTTCCTCTCCCTCTTATTCTCCATCTCCCTCCACAGTCTCTTACAAGTCTCATCCCTTGTTCTCCATCAACCAAGAAAGACCTATAGGAAACCCTCTACCCATATTTATATATTTTCTTGGAATTGTGTTGGTGTGCATTATTTTAACTGTAACATTTTACTGATGTGTATATGTAAAATTTTTATATAATTCAGAACTATCCCCTAGCCCTTTCATTTACCTAATATTTAAGGCAAACTTTGATTTACTCAAATCTGTTTTAAGCGTGGAATTCTGGGAATATGTCATTCCAAAAAAGCTTAATGTATTTATGAGGAAACTGAGCTTGCTTCTCAAGGGCTTCATGCTTTTCCCAATAAGATAAAAACACAACTTCATGTGAAATAAAAATAGCATGACATTGGTATACCTGTGGTTAAATGTCTTTGATTGATGAATCTTTGGCATTGTATCATTCTTTGAATCAACACACTTTGGATTGGAATGTAATGTTGCCTCAAGGAAATAGACTGAATATACTTAGATATTTAACTCAAGGCTGTGTTCCATCTTTCTCCATTAAATAGATGTCTTTGGATTGGTGTCTATTCAGTGTATAGCATATCCCTATACCTCAGGAAAGTAAACCAACTTCCCTGACCCCCCACCTCCAGTCTGTGATGTGGGCCTAGGAAGATCTTCACCATAGCTGACTGGGCCAAAGCTAGAGCATTCACTTTCTCTCTCTCAAGAATTTTGCATCAAGCCTGAAATACACAGAGCTATTTTCTATGTGTTGCAGATAGAGTCAAAACAAAGATACTGCTCTGCTTTGAATTCTTCTTGGGAGTTGCAGGTTGGCTACATTTTCCTCCATATGAACCAGAGAAGCAAAGGAAACCAGTTTTCAGAGAAAGACAAAGCAAGAGATGGAGACAAAAAAAATGAAAACATACTCCTCTGGACTCGGACAACTTCCCAGGCTGGTTCCAGCCCTTCCGGAAGTCAGGCTACATACTTGCCCTTGGGTTCCATGAGGCACTCTTAAATGGTGACTACAATTTCTTCCTTTTCCTTGAGCAAAGTTAGCTCATTCTAACAAGCCCATGGTTCATGCAATCACCAACTCCAGTTGCTTGTAATCACCAACCTTTGAGTGCCCCTTGCTCTTAGTCATAAACTTTTCCTTAGATTTAGTTGTTATTGCAAGATTTGGCCCTTCTGTATTTCCTGCCCACTTATTTATTATCACGTGTGTGTATGAGAGAGACAGACAGACAGAGAGGGAACTGACACAGGAAACTCTGACCTAAATGTAGATGCTTTAAAAGAAAAGCAAGGTGGCCTTAACCTGTGGATTCACTTGAGTCTAGGGCCTGGCTCTTACAGACTCAGGAATTCAGACTTCTCAGCGGTTGGCATTCATGATGTTCTTATGAGACAGATGCATAAGTCCAGAATAGAATTCTGACTTTTTAGTTTACGATAGACCTGCAACTGCCAAAGGGATAAGCTGCTTTTATTTATTGACAGCAGGTCCTTTTCTTCCAGGAATGGCACACTGGGAAACCAAGATATGATCTGAAGTGTTTGTAATGATCAAGGAATCAGACAAGAGGGTTTTTCCAGTATTAAATGACATCAGTCTTAAGGGCCTCCATCCCCACCCTGCACCAGGACCTCTCAGGTGGTGAGAATGACCCACAACCTGCCTGGGCACTGTCCCATTTGTATGGGAGTCCTTACATCTTGCTCCATGGCAGATGGGGCCTCTTTGAGATGGACACACATTTTTTCTTTTGCTGTATTCCTGGGTATAGAGTGGAAGTCAGTCCATTGCATTAAGGTGGCCCAATCCCATTTGTGTTGATTCAGGGGGTAATCTTGCATCCTGGGTATTCTATTTCTTGAATATATGACATATGTGTTCTCTCGGGTCACCCTTTAATTGTTTCTGGTTGCCCTCTGGCTTCAAAGCTTTGAAGGAGAGACATCCAGTACCTTGGGGAGAGGAAGAGGGAAGCTAGAACCAGGAAGGCATTGCTCACCTCCGAACCCCAGGATAGAGTCTAAGGCCATGGCCAGACAATAGCCTGAGCGAAAATGTCATGATTGTAGTTAAGTGCAATAGGAAAGAATATAAGAGGCTGCCAAGTAACTGTGACCTATCATCTGTCAGATACAAGACATATCTTAAAATATGGTGAAAAAATGGGTCAGGCTTTGTTGAGAGACAAGAGATTTGTTTGGGACCCCTCAAATTTGGCTTTGCATCTCAACAGTCAGGACTCCGTAGCTGGAAGAGTAAGCAGGGCAAGACTGACACAGTGAAAGCCTTTCACTGCATGGCTGGGGACAGTGTCCTGTGGCTGATGGGAAGAGCCCCAAGCAAGAGGAAAAGGGCAGAGCAGGAGCCTAGCCCTACGGTCTGGTCTGGAAGGGGGCTTAGAAGAAGCCGATGGCTGGTGACCTTTCCCAGGAGAACCTGAGGACTTAGCAATTCCCTTAGAGAAGGCGGGTGCAGTGAGACCCGACTTCCAGCTGGCCCCAGGACAATCACAGAGCTGAGAGAGCAGCCCCCACAGGGCGAGAGAAGCGGCCATGTGCCCTTCTTAAAGCCAGCACGAAAGGAAGCCCTGAAGGACGCCTGGCCAGCCTGAGGGAGGGGCTCATGAACAGCAAGAAGGTGAAACCCTCACAGGCTCTTACCAAGAGCCACTTGGTTTCCAAATAAATGGTGACACAGACATAATGCCTGTCTTTGGTAAACACCTTGACTAGAACCAAACACACCGGAATTCATTCTTACATTTTTTCATTCAATAAATATTATTGAGCACATAGGACATACCAGGTATTCTAGGCACTTGATGCATCCAGGAACAAACCAGACAAAATTCCCAGTAGCTATGGAGCCTACATTGCTCAGGGGGACAGACAGTACACTGCAAACATAGTGAGAAGGGAATTAGCGCGTGAGAAGGCAGATGGGGAAAATGAGCATCTGCATCGAGAAGACTGAGCTGAAGAGCAAAATTGTGTTTAGTTATATAACATTTCCCAACTGAGCCCCTCCACTTCCTTTATGCCAGCGTTGCCTCCCTCTGAGTAACTCTGAAGGACAGAAAAATGAACCAGATACTCACGACCCTCAAGGAACTGACAACCCAACCTGAGTGTTTATACAGTGAGCTTCGTGGGGGACGGAATGACGTCCTTTCCTTCATTTAGCAAATATTTACCAAGTACCTGGTAAAATATACGCAACACTGGACACTCCCACACCCATACACACACGACAAACAAAACACCTACACGCTCACAAAACACGCACATCAAAGTCTCCGCGCTAGTATTTTAACGTTAAAGTCTGCATGACCGAGAGGCAGGCTGATGGGGCCAAAGAAGCCTGGGGAAGATCATTATACCAAGGTAGGAAATGAGGGCTTCAAGACCACAAAGGGAGGCTTTACAGGACTGAGCCATTGCAGGACAACAATGTTTGTCTGCCTAGTTCCCAGAGGAGCCATACAGAGGTCTGAGCAGGGATTTATGACCAGGAGACTGATTTGCAACTAAAATCCCCCTGTGCAACCAGGAGCTAAAAGTCTGCCTGAGTTAGGGAATGTCCTTGAAGACGCTCCAAACTCAGTCTGCAAGCCTGGCACCAGGTGTACCTAACAATTCTCTCAATACCTGGTCTTAAATGAACACTACAATTGGATTTTGAAATTTTGTCCCTGGGGTTTCAGCCCTAAAAGTTGATATGATTCAGTTAATAACCTTGGAGTGCATGGAATTTGCAGGGAAGTACAATTTGGTCTCCACAGTAAATATGCCGACTTCACATGAGAGTACAAAGTGTCTTGGGAGGGAAAACCCTCCTTGGATGAAGGCATATTTCTGAAGTGCAGTAAGGAGCTTATGCTTAAACTAGGCATGCTTGAATTATTGCAAGGTTCAACCTAACTTCAGCATGAAGTTGGTTCTTACCATTAACCTCCAGTAAATGCTTCCTTTTCTCCGAGAGCTGTAGGCTTATTTTGAGCAATTAAATACTTGTATATGTGTTTTCTTTTACTGATAATCTGCACCTTCTTTCCCATGATGGAGGACAGATTTTTATGGGAAATTCCCAGGAGGCAGCAGCTTTGGCGTTTCTCCGAGGTCCTTATAAATGAAGGTAACTGGGAACTCAAGTGCTCCAGAGTCAATGTTTTCTGCCCAACAGGTAATGTCTGCCTTGTACAAATGCTGTTTCCAAGAAACCCATATATTACACATCCCTGAGGGGCTGTACAGAACTGGACACACACTGAAACAAGCAACAAGCTGCCTCGAGGCCTCTCTGGAACTGAGAGTCACCTAAATAAATAAATAAACAGGAAACGTGCCAGAAGAAAGTTAGGATGGGGACTCAAAGACAGCTCTTTGAGTACAGAAGTAACTGAAAAAAATGCTGGCAACTGTGTAAGGATCTGGTAAGTGGGAGGTAACTCACAGTAATACACACAATCACTTTATTCTAGGGTGCCGAAAGAGAGCCGAGCAGCAGGCATCTGCCTGGGACTTCCACAAACAGCATCCAGTCTTAGCTAGGAGGGCCCACACTGCCTTCAGCTCTGTCTTCCAAGTTATATGTCATCCACTTCAGTTCTCCCATCTGTAGCATGGGGTAGTACAGCCCCCTTGCCAGGGTGGTGAAAACAGAGAGACAGCCCTCACTACAGTAGCTGGCACACAGTCGGTGCTTTGCACTCTTAGGGCTGGTCTCCCAAAGCCAAGTGGGGAAGGCACTACAGTTTCAAGAGTAGCATAAGGATGTCTTCCCGATCCAAAATTGGATGTGCCCAGTATTTAAAACTAAGACTGTGATATTTTATTTCCTGACTTTATCATGTATCTAAGATTCATATGTAAATAGGCAATTACATTTTTAAAGTGATTTTTTTTCCTTTCCCCCTTACCATTAGATTCTTTCAAACTGGGTCAAACACCTGTGGCAAGGGGATTGTGAATTAATATGAGAATAGTAAGAAACAGGACTGAGAAACAATAGATATGGAAGTTTTATCTAGGACAAGGTAGCCTGGTCATAAAGAAAACACTAGGACCGAGGATAGGAAACCGGCTGACACGATTTCCCTGTTTCTTCCAGCAGAGAAAGCAAACCCAAGAGGATTTTGGAACAATAGTCATCTTGCCTTTTTTTCTTTTTTGTACCTTCTAGAACAAGTGCTTAGTAAATATTTTTTGATGCTTTAAAACTAGACAAGGTGATCTCAACTCTAGGAAGACTGATTTCCTCTGGTTCCTCTTTTAAGCAGAATCATTAGGAGCACTTACAGACTTTCTTACTAATGAAGTGCCCCCAGAACACTGAAGAGGACATAGAGGGAATAAAATGAATCCAGAAACATCATTTGCAGAAGTGTCTTGGCAATTAGTGCCAAAGTCTGGCTGACCTTTTGACTCTATGTTTGTATTTTGAAAAGAAGAAGAAGAAAAAAAGCAACCACCATATTTACTTAAGCGTTAACGTGGCCCAAAGTTAAGTGAATACCTGTGCTAACCACCAGACCTTTTCATGGCCACACTTGATCTTCTCATATCCAATTTCACTGTTACTACTTGAGACAACAGACTGCGTGTGTGAGAAGAGGGGGAACTTTTCCAGTTCTTTCTCAGAAGGAAGACTGGGAAGAACAAAGGAGACATGAGAAGTTAGAGGAAAGGAGGTGAAAAAGGCAGCAGTCAGGGAAAGCCTGAGCCACCCCCACGCATTGCACCCATCTTGTCCATGCATCCCTGACCTGTGCAACCGTACAGGCTTCTTCTACACCTTGTCACACCAGAGGCTTGGACCAAAACACACTGTTCTTTTAAACCCAGACTAGCTGGATAAACAGTGCTAGGCAGGCCCCAACTCGCCCTTGCTTCAACCTTGGCAGTCAAAACCCACCGTGCAGGGCTCCCCTCTGCCCCCAGGATAAGGCCCCAGCCACTCCACCTCACCTTCCAGACCTGCCTTGATCTCCACGGATTCCACCTTTTTGAACACATTTCCCTCCTTGCCCAATGCTTCTAGGTTTCTGTCAAATTACATCCCAGTCTCCCTACCAGTGTCCCCAGTGGCTGCGTCTTTCCTGTCACCCAGAATGTCCTTCCTCCCCCCGCCCCAGCTCAAGTCCTCCTCCTGCTCACCCTTCCAGGCCCATTTGCAATACTGTGCACCCTTCCAGGGGCATCCTGGGTGTCCCACCCCTCCAGCCACCGAAGCAGTGACGGTCTACCCCTCCTGTGAACCTTGGCGTTGTCTCCCTGTCTGGTGGCCCTGGCATGCCAGACTCTGTATTGTGTGAGTTCTTATGGATAAAATGAAAGTTCCTGTGGCCAGGATTCTCACCTGGCCATGGTTGACTAGCTCACTGCACACCTGTGGGCAACACATGGCTGTTGACTCTATAAAAAGAGCTCTGCCCAGTGCTCTGGGAGTGACATGGTGGCATGTTTGCAAGGCTGTAGGAGAGCAGAGCAGAGGCTGGAGTGGTGGCAGTGCCAAGGACAGAGGCCCAGAGGACAGCTGTGCAGGACAGATGTACAGAGAGGCCCAGAGGATGGCTGTGAGGACAGAGGGGCCCAGAGGCAGAGACCAGCTTGCTGCATGCAGACTCGCTCTGAGTGAATGGGATTCTGGTGACTGACTGCCACCTGGAAATAAAGTTGGGTATAACCCTTTCACCCCAAGAACGTTTTGCTATCATTTTCTTTGGTCACACTGAATCCATAGCCAACTTGCCTAGGGCTGAAACCCATTGGTAAGACAGTTCTGCCCTCCCTGATACTCAGCCACTTGGTGGAAGGTAGGCTCTTTCTCCTCACTGACTACAGCTTGAACGCAGCAAATATTTCATCTTTGCCCACATGAATAAGGTGGCCCCATCTCCACCACCTGTGCCTACTGTGCCTTAGGAAAGTCAAACCACACTGACAAGATAGAGGGCCTTTGATAACTTCCAGGGACAAGGTTTTCTGGGAAATGGACTTTAATTCCCCCAGCAGGAAGGGTTTGGCAATCACTCAGGACATCCTTGTTCTAGCCAGCTTCTTGTTGGGTAATTTACTAACCTGGTGGCTCTCTACTTGCTGGGTCAGTGATTCTCAAACTGCATTATCCCATCTGCAGGTGTAGTCATCTGGCAAGTGTTTTTAAATCACTGGACAAGGCTGCCTTCCAGAGCAACCACTTCAGAACTTCTGGTGCTGGGGCCCAGGGTTCTGTATTTTTCAAGGCTCTCCAAGTGGTTCCAGTATGCAGCCAGTATTGACAACCACTGGCCTAGACCATGGAGAGGGATCCTATTCAGCAGACATTTGTTCTACTTGCAAGTAACCAAGTGGGTTTACTGACCAACAGCACCTGTTTTCTATCCTGACCCAGCAGATGGGGCCAGGCAAAGGAAGAGAGGTAAGCCTCAGGGGTTTGTTTACACATAGCAGGTTTCCCTAGGACAATGATTTATGATCCAGACATCAGTTCCAGACTAAAGTAATATTGCCAATTTCCACCATGCTCCCCCACTCGCAGCATTTTTCATATTCCTGTGGACCTAGTTTCTGCACACTAGGTCACCTTACCTTACTAAATTTCTTAAGAATTTCAACAGAGAAAAAAAGGTTAGAGCTCTGATCTTGCATTTAAATAAATCTCAGAATTTGAGGTTGATGATAAATATTCACGCAGGGTGAGTGATGCCAAGTGTAATTTCCCACATTATTACAATAGCAAAAATGTAACCTCCCTTTCTCCCTATGAGTCAGTGCAGTAACCCACTATGTTAATCTAGAGAAATCTTAAACCTTGAGGGAAGTTTATTCAAAAGAGGTAGTCATGGCAAGTGCGTATGAGATTTTAAAAACCAATTCAGTCTAAGTACACACTCTTATCACCACTGACTCTAATCATATATTTTTCTCTCCAGGAAATAAATCCTGTGAATGCTTGCATATAGTTTTAGAGATTATCCTTTTTTGTTGTTATTGTTTTCCAAGCTTTGATGAAATATAACTGACATACAACATGGTGTACGTTTAAGGTGTACAACATGTTGAAGGATAGATTTATATATTGCAAAGGATTACCACCATAGTGTTAGTTAACATCTCCATCCCCAGAACATAATTTTCACTTCTTTTTTGTGGTGAGAACATTTAAGATCTACTTTCTCAGCAACTTCCAAGTTCATAATACAACATATTAGCTGCAATCACCAGGCTATTCACTAGATCCCCAAACTTGCTGATCTTATAACTGGAAGTTTTTACCCTTTAACCAGTATTTCTCCACTCCCCTTACCCCCCAGCCCTGGTAGCACCACTCTACTCTGTTTCTTTGAAATCAGGTTTTTTTCAGATTCCACATATAAGTGAAATCACACAGTATTTATCTTTCTTTTTCTGACTTATTTCACTTAGCTTAATAGCATCACATTCCATCTATATTATGGCAGATGACAGGATTTCCTTCTTTCTCACAGCTGAGTAATAGTCCATTGTATATACATACCACATCTTCTTTATCCATTCATCTGTCAACAAATACCTATGTTATTTCCACATCTTAGCTATTATGAATAATGCTGCTGAGCATGGGGGCATGCAGATATCTCCTCGAGATCCTATTTACATTTTCTTCAGATACATACCCAGAAATGGAATTACTGGGTCATACTATTTTTAATTCTATTTTTAATTTTTTGAGAAACCTCCATACTATTTCCCATAGTGGCTGCACCAATTAACATTCCCATTACAGTGCACATGGGTTCCCTTTTCTCCACACCCTTCTTGACAACACTTCCCTCTTATCTTTCTGATGTACAGATTATTCTTTAAAAGGCAGATGAAACTATTTATAAAACCAGGTTTCTCCCACCAACTTCAGGCAGGATCTGTTTAATCCAGAGAAATATCTATACTTACACTTCATTATTATATATATACTTAATTGTATTGACTTTAGCTTAAATACTATCTACTGACCATTTCAAAGGATAAAAAATAATGCTTGCACATAATGTCTTTTTAAAAATCTAGCTTACAGATAACTTGCACCAATTTAGATGATATATTTCTACCAGAGGTGATAGAAGGGAGTCATTCTTAAACATGTGCTGCATGTGAACAAATTGAAAAACTTCAGTCATACAAATTCAACTACCTCAGCTACATCTGAAGAACTAGTCCACAAACTAGTGTTTCCCTTCTTTGCACCCCCTTATTATTTTGGCACAATGAAACATAAAGATGTGGGGGAGCCCACAGACCCACATTCAAATCCTGATTCTGTTGCTCATTTGCTACCATCTTGAGAAACTGCCTGCTATCCATGGGCTTCAGTTTTCCTTGGGACAAAATGAAAATCATAAACCCAGTAAGGAACCCATGTAGTGTCTGAATAGCACACAGACTATGTGGGAAGGAGAGACACAACTGCTAAGTCTCAGGAGCTGCCCGCGCAGGGGGGTACCTGCAAGATAGGACAGCTGGAGAGAAGAGATCAAGGGGCCAGCAAATGAAATTGCAGTAGGAAAAGGTGTAAGAAAAGGCACCCCAGGATTTCCAGTCAAGTTCTCCCTTCTCACTAACTCCGGGAATAGAATTAGCGAAGCCACATCAGTCTTTGGCGGGGGTGCTCAGGGCTTTGGAATGTGCTGGTTTTGTGGCCCATGTTGGAATATGTGGGCATAAATGACTAAGCAGCCACAGTCATTAAAAGCCACACTGCTTAGCTTGGCAGAGAAGAGACTCATCGTCTAGAGGCCCAGCATCGCATGAAAAAAGGGACCATTTATAAGCATGTTCACTGCCAAGAATTCCCCTCAAATGATTGAAAAAAGGCAAACTACCACAAAGACTCAGCCTGCCATTGCCTAGTTCTCTAGCAAAGTCATCTCTGTTCACTCATTGATTCAGGAAATGTCTAGAGGTTTTAGATATAAAACTTGCTAAAATCCAGATTGAAATTTTAGCCTTTAAAGCTAATCATACCATTGTTACAGATCTAGGAAAACCAAGAGCCTAGCCATCTATGAGTCCTAAAACAGTCATCTCAATTATGGTTAGCACAGACACCTTTCAAGTGTCACAAATACGTTTCTGGACTTTTCAAGTGTCACAAATACGAAATGCTAACTATTCCTTTAGCTGCCTCTTTTACCCAGCATTATCACTTGACAACCTCCCCTGGCCTCATGTTGCTTTCCATCGGGGATTCTGTCTGGGTTGAGCACCTGGAATTTACCTGCAGTGTCCCTTCTTCTCAGAAGCAAACCCTACAGTCCTGAACAGCTAATGGCTCACAGTCTCCCACCTCCCTCTGTCTGGCTACAAGCAGCCAGTTAAGTATAGAGAGGGGCCTGAGTGCCCAGTCCACAACACTTGGTCTAACCCCTGTGTTTCTTCTCCAGGCTGGAGCAGCTCTTGGCTTAGAGCCTTACCACTGGGCCCCGAGGCTGTGGTCCAGTGTAACCCCTTCTGCAGGGCCCTGCCAACACCACAGACTCATAAGCAGCCCCATAATAATGGAACTAGAGGGGCCAGAATGAAAGAGGATGCATAGTAGAGAGAGATCCTCTCCTCTAGGCCTTCCCCAGATGATACAACTTGGGAATTTTGCCCTATTTCAGGGCACAGAGAGCCATGGTCTCAACATTCAGGGCACAAGCCCAGCTCCACACCAGCCCCTCAGGGGTCTTGAGGAAAGTTCTCAATTCTTCACCTCTAATGTTTGAAAGAGAATCACACCCACACCTCCAGAGAAGGACGTAACAGAAGCTCCAGCCCCAGAAGGGCTCCCCAGCACCAAGCAGGCCCCTGGGGCAGTTTTGCAAGTGGCCCACATTCCCAGGCCAAAGTTCTCATCCAGAACCCCGGAGGGACTGGGCCCTCTTTGCTGGTCCTTTCCTGCCTTCCTTTTGACTGTTGATGTTTCGTTCTGACTCAAAACTAGACTGTCAGCCACTGCTCACTTTCTTCATCTCTGTATTCTCCCTGCCACCTTCTCCTCCTCACCACCTGGCACACCCAGCACGGGGTGTAGCCCAAGGGGACACCCAGTAATAACTGATCGAAATGCTCAGTTATGTTAGTGATGCCTGAGATAATGGGTGAGAAAGCCCTTTGCTAACTGAGTTTTATTTCTGGGAGAAGCAGATTCGATTTGTGAGGAATGTCTCCACGGTCATGTTCAGGCAAAGCTTTTGTTACTCGTCACACACGCAGGACCTCAGGCGTGGTCAAGAGTGTGCAGCACCCCAGGTGACACCCAACACTGAACGTCAGCCTGCCACTATCTCTTGTAGCAAACACGACAACGTCCCCAGTGCTTGTGCTTAGGAACCATGCCTCCCTCGCACCCAGGACACATTCACAGCCTACAAGGGGAGACTTTACAGACTCTGGTACCATCCTCCCAGCCAGTGACTGAGGGCTACCTGAAGTTCAGAATAAAATCCCAATGGCTTACCAAGGCCCCTAAGGCTCACAGTGACCTGGCCTCTGCCTCTGTCCCCAAGCTCAGCCTGAACCTGTCTCCCAATCACTTGGCCAGCCATGCAGGGACCTTCCTCCACTCCTCTGGCAGGACAGTGATGCTACTGCTCCCTCGGCCCTCCACCTGCGGCCTCAGACCTCAGCCCTCCTCCACAAGGGCTCCCCGCCACCAGGCTGCCACCCAGCTGTGTTGTGTGTTCCCTGCAGGCAGCAGCCAGCACCCCCCACCACTGTGGTGTGCCATGGAGGGACACCCAGCAAGGCCTCAAAAAACAATCACTGAGTGAACCAAAAGTCATGATCAGCAGTGGTTTTAAAAACAGTGTCAATACCACCACACACCCATGAGAATGGCCAAATTCCAGAACACTGACAGTCAAATGCTCACAAGAATGTGGAGCAACAGGAACTCTCATTCTTGGTTGGTGAGAATGCAAAATGGATCAGCCACTTGGGAAGACAGTTTGACAATTTCTTACAAAACTGAATATACTCTTACCATACAATCCAGCAACTGTGCTGCTCAGTATTTACACAAGGAGTTGAAAACTTACATCTGCACAAAAATATGCACATGGATATTTATAAAATATTCATAACTGCTAACACTTGGAAGCAACTGCAATAGTAGGTGCATGGATAAACTGTAGTACATTCAGACAGTGTAATATTATTCAGCACTAAAAAGAAATGAGCTATTAAGCCATGAAAAGACATGGAGGAAACTTAAATGCATGATACTAAGTGAAAGAAGCCCATCTGAGAAGGCTACACAATCTATGACTCTAATTATGCAATATTCTAGAAAAGGCAAAACTGTTGAGATGGTAAAAAGCTCAGTGGCTGCCCAGGGTTGTGTTGTGGCAAGGGGAGAATGAGTAGGCCCATGAAAGTTCTCTGTATTGTACCATAATGATGGACACGTGTCATTACAAACTTGTCTAAACCCATTGAACGCGCAACAGCAAGAGTAACTGAGTGACTTTTGGGTGATGATGTGTCACTGTAGGTTCAACACTTGCAATAAATGTGTCGCCCTGCAGGGAGTGGGGGCTGTACTGATAATGGGAGAGGCTATGCATGCATATATGGCAGGGGGACATGTGGGAAATCTCTGTACCTTCCTCTCAATTTTGCTATGAACCTAAAACTGCTCTTAAAAAAGTAAAGCCTGAAAAGAAAAACCTCAGTCATGATATGAGATATGAAAAATTTCAAAGCACACTGAGTTAACTCTGCCCCTGAAAAAACCACCAAAATGTATTATATACCCATTCACTTGCATACCTTTTCGACAAACCCACAGGCAAACATTCTTTCAACATTCCTGGCAGAAGCATTCATTGGCATAACCTGGTGGTAGTGGGTGTGCAATTGTGAAATACACATTAAAATCACAAATGCACATAGACTTTGACCTGGCAATTCTTCTTCTAGGAATTTAGCCAACAAATACACTTCCTCGCACTTCTGCAAAATGACATAAGCAAGGCTGTTACTCATTGCAACATTGCTGGTAAGAGCAGAAGATTGCAAACAATTTAAAAGTCCACCAGAAGGTTGAAAATGCAGCTCACTAGCTACAGATATGGAACTGGGTACACCATTGTGTGTGCAATGGTCAATTTTATGGGTCAACTTGATTGGGCCATGGGAGGCCCAGATAGCTGGTGAAACATTGTTTCTTGGTCTGTCTACAAGAGCAGTTGTGGGAGAGATTAGCACTTGAACTGGTGGGCTGAGAAATGCAGGATGGCCCTCCCCAGTTACTTGAGCAGCACCCAATCCCTTGGGGGCCCAAACAGAGCAAAAAGGCAAAGGACGGTTGAATTAACTCTGCCTGAATACTCAAGCTGAGACACTGATCTTCTCCGGTCCTCGGGCTCCTTGTTCTCAGGCCTGGACTGGAACCCACACCCTGACTCCAGCTCTCGGGCCTTGGAAATATACCACCTGTTTTCCTGTATCAACAGCTTGCAGACAACAGACTGGGGGACAGCTCTGCCTCCATCATCACTTGAGCCACTTCCTTATAATAAACCTCTGCACACACACATACACACACACACATATAGGGGGCTCTGGAGCCCCCTAACACTGTGTGAAAGAGGGGAAAGGAGCTATTAACAACAGGTACCTACCAGTGAGAAAGAGGGGAATTGGTGGCTGGGGAAAAAGAAGAAAGACTTTTCCAAATAATCTCAAATTGTGGGACACCTATTCAACAGAACACAAACTGTGGTATTTACTGTAAAAAAAAATAAGATTTAATTCCAAAATCTTGCTGAAAAATTTAACAGGAAAATTAGTAAAATATTATTTTATATTACATTCTTATCCCCATTTTATAACTGCAATGATTAAGCAACGAGAAGAAAGGTAAATTGCTCAAGCTGGTCCTAACCTCACTCCATCCCAGCCCTGCTGGAAATTTTCTTTGGACATCTTTGGTACCAGTAATTCAATGGATAGAAAGTATAAGTAAGGTGTCCCTACGTATTTTAAACATTCATCATTTCTAGGCTGACATACGTTGGGTAGTCCTGCCAGAGAGCAGCCAGCCTAAAAATCAACTCTAGGCACCATTTCACATTGGCCCATGTAGATTCAGACAGATTGAGGCTGAGCATAAACCACCCCCACCCCACCCCCCCACACACACATACACAACCCCCAAGTGAGGGAATGACTTGGCCGGGTTTTCAGCACTTCCTAATGCAGCAGAACTTGACTCTCTACATCTTTAGTTGAAGATCTAACCAAGGATCTTTGAATGAATCTTTAGATGAACCACCACCCAGTTGTCCAGACCAATAGGCTAGGAAGCTAAACACACTTAATGTAGGTTGATGGGTCTCTCATCACTAGCTGGCACCTTCCTGAGCTTCTTAGAGTCTCAGTTTGCCCCAGAGCAGGAATAATGACACCAACCTGGCAAGGTTGTAAGGCAGATGAGAGGTAGTGGATGTAAAGAATGAAGAGCAGTTGTGTGTTCCTTAGTGGGATCTCTATAAATGGGGACTGTATATCCAAGTGAACAGCACAAGTATCACCAGTGGTCCAAAAACCTCGTGTCATGGCCTCTCAAGTTCATTCAGTCCCACCCTTGTAGCCCGTGGACTCTGAGTCATGCGTCTCGGCTGTGCACTAATTATTGATGTGATTTTCAGCAAATCACTTCTCTGGGCTTCAGTTTCTTAATCTGCAAAATTAGATAAAAACAATGACCACCTCATAGGTGTGGGACTTGGAACCCAGGTCTCACACAATGTAGGTGCTCTGTTAGGTATTAACCATCATCATTGTTTATTCAGTACCAAGTTCAAGCCATTGCTCAACACCAGTCTGGTTCTGATTTGAATGGCCTCACACTGAGCTGGGGGTCAGAGTGAAATTCTGGAAAGCTTTTCATACTCATGCCAAGTTCATGAGACTGGTGCTTACAAAAGCTATGGTCTCCATTCTCCTGGTTCTAACCTTGGCTTGTATTCATTTGCTTAATTACTTACTACTCAGAACTTTAAAGATTTACTTGCTAGAAACAGACACCAACCCAAGTGAATCTAAGCAAAAAAAATAATCAATCTGCCCCAGAAAATCCCTATTTTTTTAAATCTTCTGTAATTCCTTTCTGGAACATTCCTTTCCCTGCAGAGTTGGCTAAAAATGTTCCTCACTCCCTTCTGCTGACTCATTCAGAAAACATTTACTGAGCCCCTGCAGGGTACCAGACTCTAAATCAGGCAGAAAGACAAACACACTTAAAATGGGTTCCTGTCTTTGAGCAGCTCTCACCAAGGCTAACAGCAAACAAGCGGACAAACAGCAAGGCAATATGAGAAGAATGGCGTGTCATCTTTTCTGCAAGTGGTATGCATAAACAACAAAATAGCACCCTTTTTTACTCTGATGTGTATATGCTAGAACACACTTAACACTGCTGCTGCATCTAAGAACCAAGATCTATGTTGTAACACACCCACCCACACACACACACACACACACACACTTTCCAAGTTTAGAATTAGAGACATTGTCAAAATCTTCAAAAATAATGCACTTTATAAAGTGAGAATATAAACTTCATACAAACAGCAAGAGTAACAGCACCACTTTGTATTTTTACTTTTTTCTCTATTCCAAGAACTTTCCTCTAACTTATCTCTCTACATTCCCAATACAGTCTAGTGGTGGGATGGCAAGTCAGTCTTGGTCTCCAAGTTTTATAGATAAAAAGGAGGTAAAATTATAAAGACTGAGATTTTCAAGCTAAGTTGTTCAAACAGTAAAAAGGGCAGAAGCATTCAATTCCCTACGCTCTCACCAGGTTGGCTGAGCAACATCAAATGAGGTTAAGGTCTCAGAAATTAGGTTGCCGTAAGTTCCTGTAAGAGGTGATTGCTATGATAACGAGTAACCAAAAAGACAAGAAGCTGAACCCAGGGAGGCAGAATAGGAAGCCAGAAGGTTTTACAAAGGGTTTCCTTAAAGCTGATTAGATAACAAAATAACCTCTCCTGGTTATCAGGCCAGCACATCTTTTTATAAATGGTAAAACCCAGTGTTGGTGAAAGTGTGGGGAAGTGGTGGTCACACAGTGCTAGAGGGAACCTCTACTAATAGCACGTGCCTAGATTAATTTAGTAGCTGGGATCAAGAGGATCCTTTAGCACCACAATGCACTTCCAGAAATGTGTCCCAAGGAAATAATCAGGAAGAGATGCAAAGGTTCACCACAAGCATGTTAGTTTAGGGAATGTTAATAATAGGAAGAAAACAAAAACAACAAATATCTACCAACATGATTTAATAAGTTATCTGTATAATGTGAGTAAAAAGCTTTTGTAGGAAATCAGCATGGAAAGATGCTCACAGTACATTGCTGAACAGGAAAAGCAGGTTATAAAATAGCATGCCCAGTACAAGTGTGTTTTTTCAAAATATGTTTTCAGAGCAGAGCATATCAGAATGTTAACAGTGTTTATCTCACAGTGACAGGTTTTTATTTTTCATCCTTTTTGATTATCTATACATCTTCTTTTTTTACATTTATTTTTGGCAGTGACCATGTGCTATTTGTGTGCATTTTTAAAGGAAATATTATAGAAGTGGATCTCAGCCATTCCTTGACCGTGCTCATCAAGTTTTCCCCCTAAGCTAATAGGCATGTGCCCAAAGGGTTAGGTTAAAAGATTAACAACTGCAATTGTTAAGAGTTGAGAAAGGTCATATGTATCCTTTAAATTCATCACCATATTAGGAAGATTAAATTCATCTCAAGAAGTGTTCCTGCTCTTTTCCCACCAGAGCCTCACATTTGCAGTGAACACAAATTCTCCCTCAGCCTCTCACATACACATCCTGACGTCCAGCTGCCTGTGGGTGAACACTAACTCACCCAACTAGCTGGTCACCAGCTGCGTCATCTGGAACATCCTCCCACCGTCCAGCTTATCACAGCCTCCCAGCCACAGTGCGAACAAGTGTTTCCCATTAGAGTGCGGAGCCTTAAGGTGAAGTGAAGTGAAGTGAACTGTAAACCTCATTTTGTTCTTCTTTTCCTTTTCCCTTTCCTTTCATCTTTCAGATTCTGTCCCGTTTTCTTATTATGTTCTTTCCCACAACAACACTATTGATAGGAATTACGGAGGTCAAGGATGTCCAGTAAGAAATACTGGGCAATGTTTATAATCCCCTCTGAGAGTGTATAACTTTATACAGTCTTCTTTATCGCTATAGGTGTAACGCTGGTAAAACCTCTGGAAAACATGCTCATGCTTTTAAGGTTACATTCTAAGCCCTTACTGAAGGAAGCATGTACAAGTCTTACTAATACATTTACTACAATACATTATCATTTTAAATGCAATCAATGGATGTCTGTTAATAATAACGCAATGCCTTCAGTCAAATGCTGGCCAGATTATGCCCCTCTAAAACTGTAGAACCTTAACAGAATATTATAAAATAAGTTTTAATTCTAACATTAGTAACAGCATTTTTAAAAGACTATTTATGATGCCTCACTTAAACCTCATGATTTACCAAAAGTCACATCACTATTTATGGCTTATAAGCAGTATATACTTACAAAGTAGATTCCCATATACTTTAGAGTCATTCTTCCCAAGAGTAAAACACATAAAAATAGGTGACCTCCTAAGGTGGCTCACAGACACATCTTAAAGTTAAATATGTCTACAAAGCCACATAACTCCCAGAAGTCCTTAAAATCTTGTTTCAACAAACAGCATAACACTATTCATTTTATCAAATTCCATCATGCCTCCTAAATACTTCAGTGTATAAGTAAACAAAAAGAAAAGGAGAAAAAAATACAAAAACAAATCCCCAAAGTGTAATTAACCCTCTTACCGTCTCCTTCCTTCATCACTGGGGCCTCCAGGAATGCTGGCCTGCCAGGAAGTGGTAACTCTCAAGATAAGCCCACAGGGTTTCTTACCCAGATGAAGCCAGCAGAGGTGATGCTGGTTATTAAAAACAAAAGTGCATTAAAGTCAGCCCTCACTAGAGCTGCTAATTCTATTTTTCTTTTTGCAAGGAGCTCGGGGTCTGGCCTGCGCAGCGTGAAAGCAACGCCTCAATCTTGTCAGACAGCCCAGCTGGTGTGGAGGCTCAAAGAAAGGAGAAAGTGGGCTCCAGGCAACAACCGTGTCAGAGGCTGCTAGGGCTTTAATCCTCAGCTGTGACACATGTGGGGAACTATGAGCAGGAAGCGCTGAGCTGGGCAGACTGCCAGAATCATTCGGAAAACGTGCCAGACCCTTACGAAATACCAACACGCTTCACCGCATGGTCATTTCTCATGTTTCCCAAGGCTGGGTCTCTCCTCATATGACTTTGTGTTAAAAGCCTAGACAAGGCTTGTGGACAGGCTTGTGCAGCCTGTCGTGAGTTCTCGCCATCCAAGTTCTGGCAAATTAAGTCCAGGACTGGGGTCCCATGCCTCTCCCTCTTCTGCCAATTCCAGTCCTTCTTATAACAATAGCCACAGGCATGAGCCCCTAGCAATACTACAAGATCCTTAATTCAGTTCTTCCCGTGTTTCAGACCCAGGGCCTCTGTATGATGTACCCACCCCTGCTGCCATGTGCCCTGGGAACATGCAGGGCTCTCTCCTCAGCGTCCTGGAGGTGGGGAAACCCGCTGATGTCCCCCTCTACCTCCCACCCCCACATCTCAGGACAGCTCTCGGACACCAGCCAGGCAGGAAGGGTGCACAGGTGGGCCTGCAGCTTTCACAGGTGGTGGCCTGACCTGTCTGGGAGAGATGGTGCTATCTGATCGCCTCTTTTATTGCTCTCTTAAGCTCCTGGTTCTCTGCATTCGGATTCATGTTCTTGACATGATACAGGGTCCAGCTTATCACAGTGCTACTCAAAAATCTGCAGCATGGCCAAACCTCTATTCAAGGTCCTCCCTCAGCTGGCCCAACATCCCCTTCTGCCTTGTTCTCACTTTGTGACAGTCTGGATGGCCCCTCACTGGCTTTAGGAGACACTGTTCGAAGCTTTGCTATCACGTGCTCTGCACCACCGTCTGGCCTCTACCTGCCCTTACCCTCTTGAACATGGCACCGTCTGCTCACACACTCCCCCTCTGCCTCACCCACCTCCCCATACTTTCAGTCTTTGCCATGCTCACTGAAGTACACCTTCACTGCATCCTAGGGTGATTCTCCCTGCTCTGAACCCATGTCTTCTCTCTATGATAATAACAGAGACAGCAAGAGAGGGCACTTGTTATGGGTCAGGCATCTTTCTAGGAAATTTAAATTCTTCAGACCTATGTTACAGATGAAGAAATGGAGGCATAGCAAAAGTAAGTTCTTTCCCCAGGGTCACCTAGCCAAGGGGCAGGAGCCCCAGCTGAGCCCAGGCTGGTGCTGCCCAGCAGGTCTTACATGGATCGCGCTGCTCACCTGGGCACAGGGCATATGACTCAGGGACAGGGCCATTTCCTCACGCTCCTTGGCAGCCTTTCCAGACAGCGTCCCAGGGTGCCTTCCCATTCTAGGTAATTACCAAGTGGCTGTGATTCATTGGTAGATTAATGAACTTTAATTGAGAGACCAAATGTACCCCAGTAGCCGTGGACAGGGATTCCAACAATATTAAGAGTAAGAATGGGCCTGCAGTTTAAGGCAACCTTTTTTGCAGTGGTTTTGCCCACATTTTTAGCCTATCTACACTGTAAGTGTTTAGGTCCAGGCCACCTGGTGAATCATCAGAATATTAAAGATATAACCTCATTGAAACGACGGAGAAGACCATCAAAGTTTGGGAGGAACTTTCCACCATTCCTCCAATGTACAGTAGCCAGGTGACCTGGCAGACTAACTCCCCTCCAGCCCCAGGGCAGGCCCCTCTGGCTGGAGCCAACCAGGGTCATCCCAGGCAGGGAGGGTACAGGGGTGGGGGCTGCAGCCCGAGCCTCTGGCTTCCACAGGTGGTGGCCACACCTGTCTGGGAGAGACGGTGCTATCTGATCACCTCTTCTATTGCTCTCTTAAGCTCCTGGGCTCTGCATTCAGATTCATGTTCTTGACATGTTCTCTTCATTCCAAAGAGATCGGGGATGGGTGGATTCAGGATAAAGACAGGCAGTACATAGGGCCTGCCTGACCACAGCAAGGGCTCGGGGGTGGTCCCATCAGAGCAAGACTTAGGGCTTCCCCTAGGCAGTGGGGGGAAGCACCCCCAAAAGATAGCTGTACTGGGCACCCCTCTTAAGACAAGGCAGGAAACAAGTTAGTGGGTCCCACACAAACACCTCGTGAGCTCCCAGACCTGCCATCACACTGTTCAAAACATACTAGCAGCTTCCAGGGCTGCTGGCTAGGGCTATGGATGCCTCAGGGTGAATGATATTTCATTCAAGAGGTGCTTCTGGCCTCCTACCTGGGTGCAAGACCCTCTTCTAGGCTCTTGGGAAGAAAAAAAGGGAATATCAGAAAGACCCAGCCTTGCCCCAAGAAGCTGACTCTCCAGTAGATAGGTAGGCTGAGATGCAAAGCTAATGGGCTGAACCCTCCACAGGTATTTGCATCCCCAAACAGGAGTTTGTGACCCCAATTTTTTCTAATCAATTTAGCATAATATCTTTACTGAACCTCTAGTGGATAGTTGAGATTTCATTTGAAGGATTTTTCTGACCCTCTTTTCTACTCCAGACCATTTCTTTTCCCTTCGTCCTTCCTACCTCTCAGCCAGGAGCAAAATGTCAGAAATCTGCACTGTTTAGTTAATATGTGTAAACAAACACACACACACACACACACACACACACACACTCCCACCTGGGATTTGTCAGTTGTTCTCCCACAGAGTTCAGGGAAAACAAACAGTCATAGTTGGCAACAAAAACCCAATACCAGAAGCTAATGGAAAATTTCCAGAACTCCACGGTCCTCTATGTGCATAGAACTCCCTGAGCCAAGCCCAGAGCTTTTACTACTAAAGCTATAGAAGATGTCATTATGACATGATTTTATCAGAAACACCCTAGAATGTCTGTATTTATTCTTAAGAAGTCAAAAATAACTCATGTGCTTCCTGGAAGAGTTTTATGGGAAAGTTTCCACATTCAGAATTGGTTTGCACTTAAGAATATCTTCAATGTGCTTATACTCATGTGTTTCCTACACATCACAACTGAGGAGAAAGAAGAAACACATACAGGGTGTGTGTGCAAGCACACACACATGCACACCTGTACTCAAGCATATACATACCTGGAATCTAACTTTGGTTCCCCCACCACATGCTGTGAATCCTTAAGAAAGGAAGGAGAGTCTCTGTGTTGGTAGGTCCAGCAGTTTTGTAATTAAACAGTCATTGACCTGGGACCCAAGGAACCTAGGTAAAAGAGCCTGCTCTAACTTCATCCATGTGGCTTTGGGAAAATCATTTCAGCTCTCTGGGCCTCAGTTTCTACATCTGAAAAAAAATACAGTATCGTCTAAATCCTTGCTTCACAAAAAGTGGCCGTGGGCCAGAAGCATCACCAGGAGAATGCTAGAAATGCAGAATCTCAGGCCCTACCCAAGATCTACTGAACAGAATCTACATCTTAATAAGATTGCCTAGGTAACTCATGTGCATGTTGAAGTTTGAGGAGCACTATTCTAAATGGTCTCTGAAGTACCTGCTAGTGAGGGATACATTCTGTTAGTGTAACTTTGTGCCTTTAAACTGGATAAATTAACACACCATGCCGGGTGACCACCTCGTAGTCACTGTGGTTAGGCCCTGGGAGAATCTGGCTTGATACTTGCTTGCTGATTTCATTCCTGTTCCTGGCAATGACATATAAACAAATCAAATCACATCCATGACTCTTCTAGACCACTAAGCCACATTCTGTCTTCCAGCTTCCTACCAAACCCCTTAAGGAGAATACCATCCCTTAACACTTCCTATCTCCAGACAGCTTCCACATCCATTACTGGTTTGAGGGATTTTGCAAGCACAGATTAGTGAACAGGAAAGATTCTAGATGAATTCTTACAGAGGTGGTGTGTTAGCACTTAATGAAGCCATGGTTACTAAGAGAAAGCATGAATTAACTAAGAACGAGCCACGTCTGGTGGACTCATCCAGTTGGTGGAGAGTATCGATGGGCAGCTTAGGCAGAACACTGGGCACTTAATGAATCAGGAGTTCATGAAACCATTTGCAAACCACTTTCTTGTGAGCAAGAGGAAGAAATGTCATTACGAGAGTTGGATAGTTTCATAAACACCGAAACTCCAAGACAAATGGATCAGTCTGAAGAGTGGTCTCCAGTGGGAAAGCTCGGGTGCTATCCTTGGTCCTTTCCAGGAGGTGGCAGCCAGGCTGGTTATGGATATGGCCATGGTCACCCTCTAGCTGTAGCACATAAAGCGTAGAAGAGGAAGGATTTTGGAAGGAATATATGTTCCCCAGAAAAAGCAAACTCAAGATTAGAAAGCAGAACTGGTATCTGAACTTAAAAAATTTATCAAGTGAGCATGAGCAAAAGAACCAGAGAGTGTGGAGTGGATCGTGGTAAGATTCCTGGAGAGCATGCATGTGGGAGAGGGGAGGGCACAGAGCCGACGCAAAGGTTGAGGAGGGGCCTGGGAGGTGCAGAGCGGGTTCCTCCACCATAAGGGCAAAGCTGGCAAACTTACCACAGGCTGGGGTCTGGGCTACAGAGCAAATCGGGGTCCCAAAAGATCCCATTAAGATGGAACCATAGGCCAAATCTAACAGTACAAAATGTAACAGAGATGAATCTACAATCTCATTCTTAACTTCCCAAAACGAAGTTTGTAAACACAGGGCAGGGTTCACGAAAAGCAAAAGCACTGGTGGAAAACAAAGCCAAACAAATGTCCGGCCATGACTGACCAAGACTTCCTCTTTGGATCCCAGGCGTGATCAGAGAGCTTGCGCTGAGCTGCCGCGGTACAAGTGTAACTAATAATAAGAGAGAGGGTTGTCCTCAGGAGTGCCCACGGTCCTCAGAAAATGATAACTGGGGCTGCTCATGGTCAGAGAAGACCAGCCAAGCTCTGCCCCTGGCCCCCAGGCCAAGGGATTGCTCTGCACCCTTGAAACCATCAGGTTCTGCTAGGGTCCAAGGTATCCTACCCCAGAGATGGAACTAGAAACAATGAGGTAGAAAGTTCCAGAGGCTGATTTTTAAAAAAT